CCACAACTTTGGTTCATATTCAACTGTTCAACCCATTTACACATTCGTTCTCTGTACCTGTACGCACGAAACCCTCGTACATCACCTCAGTGTCAATCAAATTCGCATTTGAAAGTTGATTTGAAACATTCTTATGGTCAGTTCTGAGTTCAAGTGTGTAACACACTCAACTGACATAAATTCATCTTCCCGGTTTCACCACAACGCTTATTAAAAACTTACGTGTAATATGTAAATTATCCTTTTTAAAGTGATCTCTTCAGAAACAGACTTGTTAAAATTTTCCTTTAGGATTTGGAATTTTTTTCATACTCATAAATGTAAACACTTTCAGAAAATTACAAATTTCATAAGTAAATAATTCTGATTATTTCATTAAAATTAATAATTATTTATGGCCCATAAATATCACAGGCGTAGTCACAAACTTAAAAGTGGGGGGGGGGGGGGGGGGCTCAACTCAAGAAATTCTTTGACAAGCAAAAAAAAAAAAAAAAAAAAAGGTCATAAGAGGGCACCAGCATATAGTACCTAAGTTTTCTGTTGTATTCTATATATTGCCAACCCTCCAACATGTAATATCCATGGGCGAATACAGGATATGTAATACAGGGGTATGGCATGAAATAATATTAGTCATATCACACTTTGAATGGTGGGGCCTAGGGGGCGAAGCCCCTGGAAGCTCCCGAGTTTTCGTGTAATTTAATAGTAAAACCTGAAACAAAATTAGTGGCACTGGTTAGATATGTATCAAAGTAAGGCATTAAAAATATAAATCATATCATACTTTAAAAATTTCAAGGGTGTGCGTCCCTCATGCCCCCTTAAATCAGCTAGCCAAAGTGATATCAAACCATTGTCTAAGCTGAATGAGAGGATTTCAAATAGTGTTTTTAAAGTTGATTGACATTCATCACAGGTATACCGAAATCAGAATCTCCAATACTGCAGCTATCTTGTAGAAATTACCTATTTTGATGAGATTTGGATTGACTAGAATTCTTTAGTACATATTATGTAAAAATGAAAGAGTGCTAATGAATCAGCAAAATTAAATAATTAAAAATCCGGAGGTTTGACAAAACTTACTTTGTGACTGTACATGTATGTGTTATACAAGAAATGGGATACAGCAAATAAATAATGACTTTCAGATGTACAAGGGGTACTTGTGATTCTCATTTAATTTTGTTAGATAACAGATGCTGAGTGAAACAGAAACGTCTAAACTTAAATTTATGACCCACACTCCCTATCCCAAACTGACGAACACAAGAGGTCTTGACAGATTTAATTACTATATTACATTACTATTTTATACAACTATTACTTCAAGAGAAATGCTTACTCAGTTGTTGTTGAAAATAAAAAAAAAACTGCCATAAAATGAGGTTTAATATTATTTTAACATAGCTGTGATTTTGTTCTACATTAATAAGTGGGGGGGGGGGCACAGGCATATTCTTGCCCCCCTCCCCCCCAAGATCTGAAAGTGGGGGGTGGGGGGCTAGTGCCCCCGCTGTCCCTTTGTGACTACGCCTATGAATATATACATCGCAACGTGTTCGAGGTTCCACATTCCATGCTATTCACGCATGCGTATAGTTTTCATAAACAAAACAGGGGCCCGTTTCACAAAACTATCTTAAGATTTGTCCTAAGACAGATCTTAGGACAATCTTAAGATCTGACTTAGGACAATCATAAGATTTGTCACTGCTGTTTCACAAAACTGTCTTAAGTAGCTGAAATCTTAAGACAAGTCTTAAGATATATCTCGTGCCACAAAGTTATAGAAAATGTTATCAAAGACAAATTAAAACAAAATATTAATAATTCTTGTTCTAAGTTAAGTTTTCTTCAAAAACATATATGTACATATATTTTTAATGTTGTAAATAAAAGTTTTCTTAAATATATTGTAAAGGAGTTTTTAATCGAAAATAAAATGTTAATTTTCTTAATACATTTACAGTTTTCACATTTTTGGAGGGGCGGGGGGGGGGGGGGTCGGAGTGGAAGCAATAATGCTGATTTGTGAAGTTATATGTGTGAAAAAAATTAAAATTTGTGTGTCAAAAAGTATTTTAAAAATGCGTTTGTTTGTTCAAAAATAAATATGAATTCTGTTTAAAAAAATTAATTTAAATTTACTTTAAATTTGATCCACCACCGCACTTGCCTTTGAATACAAGTAATGAATGGTGTTCGAATGCATTCGTCTGTGACCACAAACACCCCTACTAATGTTATTGTGATTTAAATTCAAGACACGTGGTTTAGGTTGATCTATTCAAAGGTTATAGGGTAGAACCGGTTTTATAAATAAAATTGGCAGTAAACATGATATTGCTATAGCCTGTTTCTTTTGAAAACATGTCCTATAATAAATGTTTCTAGACCTTTCTCAAAGACTTTCATGATTTTCAACAGAAAAAGGGTGGCTAAAGGAGGGGTGTTAAAATAACAATATATCTTATACTTTTCGGCGAAAATAAGGACTCACTAGTGACCGATTCGCTGGTAAAAAATGTGCATTATCATCTACACTGACAAACCTTTGTTTGCCTTATATGGCTATTGTTATAAATGCGCACAGATGATCTTACCACGAGCACTGATCAATCGTTGAATGAATTGCAACGTTTACGCCAAATGCATGTTTACATATTTTACTTCGAACACGTAGTTCAGGTCAATCTATGATCATATATTAATGGACTGCAAAATAAAAAAAATGTTCTTCAAGGGTAAGGAAAACGAGCAGTATCTCCTGTGCATTTAAATGGACTAAACTTTGTTTACATTCGTGACCACGTGTTCGGCCAGGAAATTCACCTGGCAATTGTATTCACTGATAGTACAACAAAGGAATTAATACAGACGCAAATCGCTTTTGCAGTATGACTTTCAGAAACCTAGACTTCCGCCATTTATTTAACAAATGAATTGTTTGTCATTATGAGCATGAAAATAATATTTTTAAAAATGCTTTTCATTTACCATAAGATTTTCCTTTTATCAAGCGTAAAATTCCAGTAGTATTCGTAGTAACCCATAATGCAATACTCATTCAGCTGATTGGTCAGTTAAAATCAAGCTGGTGCCTCATTTGCTAATCTGACGCCAAAAAATATAGTCCCGGTTCCCATGCAAAAATATTTGTCCAAAAAGAAATTTTAATTCATGACTGCAGAAAATTGTATTATAGAGAATACTTATTGAAGTTTGAATGAATGTAAAAGAGAACGGTTGATTGAAGTACATATCTACAGACATTATCAGCTGATTCTAGGGTGGTGAAAACTGAAACGCAACATAAATTTTCTGTTTACCATGCCTCCACGTGCTAGTCACTTCCTAGCCAGATTTCCGTGAATAATTTACCCTATCTCGCTGAAGTCTCGCTAACTCTCGCCAGAGTCACTGCCAGAGCTACTCTGAACTCATCGGGTTTTATAATTTGCAGAACACCGAAAAATAAAAGGTTCCGAACACATTAGTAGGGGTGACAAAACGGGTACAAAGTCCGTGCGCTCGGAAAGAATTCTACAAAGAAAATGGCTCTGAAAAGAAGCCCAAATTTCAGTTCGGCCGAAATCACCGTGTTAACGGACGAAGTGGAGAAAAGAAAAGACATTCTCTTTTCCAAACAAAATTCTACAGTTTCCAATTCGTTGAAGAAGGAAACATGGAACGAAATAGCTACAAAGGTAAATGCTGTAAATGCGTCAGACCACATCAGGTCCGGAGAAGAAATGAAAAAAAAAATGGACCTGCTTAAGCAGCGAAAGCAGAAAAAAACTAGCTTTGAAAAGAAGAGAACAGAAAAAGACAGGGGGAGGATCCTTGCCATCTGAGGCTATCCTGCGACCAATAGATGAGAAAATCGAGGGGATCATTGGGGAAACATCCATTTGGGGAGTTGAGGGGGGCATTGACGTTTTAGAGGCAGAGACGGTACGGGAAACGCCAACTAGCGGGAGCACAGATGTTATAAATGGTATGTGTAAGACTGATACAAGTTCAACTTTCCGGTAAAAAAAGGGGGGTCTACAAGTATTTAGCTATTTAATCAATCCTGTAAATGGTGAAAAGTAAAAAGCATGTTATTTTTTGTAAAAATAAAAGTTAAATAGCTTACGTAAAATTTCTTACAAAGGTACCAGAGGATACACAGAGCGGATATGCTCTACACTGTAGGCAAAGTCGTATGCAATATTGAGGAATGATTTTTGTGTGATATTTTTTTGTTTTGTTAATTTTTCATAAGATTATTTAATAATCCACATGAAATTTGAAATTAAGATAAAATAACAAAATTAATGTTTTAATATTTTTTTAAGAACAAAAAGTTTTGTGATTTTGTTTACAAAAATTTCGTATTCTTGGTTGTAAAATATGAATTTTGTTTACAGAAAAAAGACTTGCCGATGAAGAGCCAGCAAAGAAACGAATGAAGAAATTTTCTAATCCCTGTAATGATGCCCTCACATTAAAACTTGTTGAAGCAGAGGAAGAGAGGCTATGTGTGGAAAAAAAGAGGTTAGAAATTGAGGAAAAACGATTGAAAATCGAAGAACGGCGACTTGAAATTGCAGAGCAGCAACTACAGTTACAACGTGAACAACATACGCTTCACCTCTGTCAGCTTGGAATAGTTTCCAATGCTACAGTGACAGTCAGTAGCCTTTCTGATAATAAATAAAACGTATTGTAATGTGTTCAATTTACTACTTGTTATTCATTTTTGTTGGTCATTACAATCACAAGATACAGAACACATGTATGTTTCATTTTCCTTTTATGAAAGTTACCAATATTTCATGAAAATTAAATCACGTTCACTAACAGTTGGGTAATATACAAATGGACACAATATTTCTAATAAAAATTACTGTATAGTTGGTACCGAATCTATGCTTTACTATAATACAGAAATTGAAAACGTCACAACATTTCTCGAATACACAAACAATTTTTGTTTGTGGCACAACTTAAAATCTAGAAAGAATCAATCGTTGGCGGATCTCGGCCCCGTCATTGTTGGGTCCTTGGTAGACGTAGTTGTCTGGTGGATTAAGATATGCTCCAGGGTTTTGTGCTTGTGGTACCGGAACATTGTGATCAGTGCACAAGTTGTGCAGAACAACACAAGCAGTTACAATTTTACATGCTCTTGCTGGATGAAAAAGTAGCGTTCCACCAGAATGATCAATGCACCGAAAGCGCATTTTAAGCACACCGAAGCTTCTTTCAATAGGGTTTCTCGTCTTAGCATGCGCATCGTTGTAGGCTAATTCACGGGGATTGCTTGGGTTGAGCACTGGAGTCATCAGATACTTTTTCAGAGGATATGCACTGTCCCCAAGCAACCAACCTCTTCTGATACCCCCATTTTCAAAAAGATCACTTAGTGATGAATTTGTCCACACAAAAGCATCGTGTGATGACCCAGGCCATCTGACAACTATGTTAGTAAATTTTGTACTAGAATCACAGACTGCCATAACATTAATAGAATGAAAATTTTTCCTGTTCACAAACAGATGCTCGTCATTTTTCGGGGCTTTAATTGGTACATGAGTTCCATCTATTGCTCCAATGACATTAGGGAAATTTGTAATGCGGGAAAAGCCAAGATGGTGTTATTGATATTCCTGTCATCGAGTGGAAATTTAATATAATCAGAACATACATATACTAGAGCTGATGATACAGCATTAATTACTCTTGAAACACTGGCTTTGCTAATACCATGGAGATCCCCAGTGACAGTTTGAAAGTTCCCACTGGCATAAAACCTGAGCGCCACCATGATTTGCAGTGATGTAGGAAGAGCATGAGACCTGCTAGTAGCATGCGCTAGATTAGCATTAAGCTCTGCACATAATCTCAAAATTAAATGGCGTGGAAGGCGGAACCTATCAATAATATCAGCATCAGGCATATAGTCCAATGGGTTATTCCTATCTCTAAATATTCGTTGTCTTCTTAAGTTCCTTCTGTTTTGGGCCAAAATATAGGCGGCCGCCATGTTAACTTTTGTCTTAAGACAAGTATCTGGTTGTCTTAAGATTAAGATAGATCTTAAGATTATCATAAGATATGAGTGTTTTGTGAAACAGCTATAGTACAATCTTAAGATAATTTCCCGGTAGGCCTGCTTACGGAAGTTTATTAGGGCCGCAGCAGTATTTTTTTTTAATTTGTTATAACAAATTATCAATTTGTTATAACAAATTATCAATTTGTTATAACAAATTATTAATTTGTTATAAAAAATTATTAATTTGTTATAACAAATTATCAATTTGTTGTAACAAATTAATAATGTGTTATAACAAAATAATAATTTGTTTAAACAAATTAATGATTTGATATAACAAATTAATAATTTGTTATAACAAATTAATAATTTGTTATAACAAATTCAAAAAAATACTGCTGCGGCCCTAATACGCTTCCGTACCTGCTACATTGACAAAGTCGACCAAAAACGAAAAACAAAACCAAAAATAGGGCTTGAAATTAAAAAGCAACTTTCCTGACAAAATTTTAGTTGGGTGATTAATATAATCATTGGATGAAGAAGAAACGGGATCTCGGCGACATTCACGTGGGGCTCGCGAAGGTTCTACCCTACAGGTTTGTTGATGCATGCTATTATTTCTCGTATCTCCATGGCTTTCAAAGAAAAAAAAAACAGTGTAAACTCAACGTAAAAATGCACTTATGACATATGAAAATTATTGCCATTTGAAAAGCAAATTGAATTGGAACTGCAGAAAGATATTTTGTTTGACATTTTGCCGTGATGACGTATGATTTGGTGGCTTTTCCTTTCCTGTACCCCAATACACAAAATGTCAACATTTGTACTTAATCATGTTAAATTCGTCTGAATGCAGACTAATATGTTAACAATTATTAATTTACCGGAGAGTTAAGATATTTTGATTCCCAGAATTGCTTTTACTTACTATGCCATTATAATTGTAAACCCTACATTGTATGCACGTGCCATTTTAGAATTCACGTGGTACAAATAAACAGAACTAAGTTGTACGACCCTTGATTTTTCGGCAGATTTTAATTACGGTAATTTTACATGAGGAGAGAATATTTATTTTTCTCAAATGCTTACTTCAACTTTTTACCTTATTCCTGAATGATATATTGGGTAAATTTGAATGAAGAAGCACACGATTTGCAGCCGTATTGCCGCTTTAAGACATAAATAAGATTATACATGTAAGATTTAAAAAAAAATTACAATAAAGTAACATAAAATTGCAAATTTCTGATGAAGTTGTTTACCAGCTAACAGGCACGTAGCAACAGGGGGGGGGGAGGTCAAGGGGCATACATGTAGCTCCACCCCCCTTTTACCCCAGCATTACTTTTTTCTATTGAAAATGTTCATTGAAAGACAGGTTGCCAACACCCCCCCCCCCCTCCCCGCCCCACACACACACACAGTTTATACCACGGTAAAGTTATATAAGGGAAATGTAGTATTGTATGCCAAGGAACTGGTACTGAAATAAGTAGCTTTTTCCACTTTGGGCAAGGTTTTTCTTTGCTTGTCAACTTTTCCAGGTAAGAAAAAAATACTTCTTTGGCTGCCCCCCCCCCTTTTTTAAAGACGATGCTACGTACATGGCTAATTCGTATAGCTTTCTAGAAAGGGGGGAGCTAACAGACCCTTTATAAAATCGCTTATTATCTGAAACAAATTGCAAACCGTTTCCTTCTTGTAAAATTTTTAAATGCAGCGTGTAAGTTGATCACTATTTTGTTGGATTATCGTAATGCGTAGTCCGCGGAAGTTATGCTAGTGTAGAAGAGTTCCGATTTTGAGGGGAGATAACTCACTTTTTAAAATGGGGAATATGGCTTTGCTGTTCTTGATAAAAAGATTTTTAAAAACATATTCTTCCTATATTTGAATTTGATTTCCCCATTGTTACCCTCCCTACCCCAAAGGGCCATGATTTGAATAAAAAAAATCTTCGATACATGGGGATGCTTATACATGTCAATATGACTAAACATACCTTTTTCTGTTCTTAGGATTTTTCCCTTTATTTTTCTACACTACCCGAAAATGCTTCCTTATAAATAAATAGTATCACTTACATGTACCATGGCTTTGTTATTCTTGGGTGAAAGATTTTAAAAAATATATATTTTAATGTAAAACGTGGATCCCCCATTGCGGCCCCACCCTATCCCTGGGGGTTATGAATTGAACAAACTAGAATCTACACTACCTGAGGATGATTCCATATACAAATGTAAATATCCCTAATCATATATGGCTTTGACGTAAAAAGATTTCCCTATCTAGTCCTACGTAAAACTTTGATCAGCCATTTTGGTCCCACCCTAACCCCTGGGGTCATGATTTGAACAAACTTAAATCTACACTACTTGAGGATGATTTCGCACGAGTTTCATCTTTCCTGGCCCAGTGGTTCTTGAGAAGAAGATTTTTAAAGATTTTCCATATATACTCATATGTAAAACTTTGATCGGCCATTGTGGCCCCACCCTACCCCCTGGGGTCATGATTTGAATAGACTTGAATTTACACTGCATGAGGATGATTCCACATGAGTTTCACCTTTCCTGGCCCAGTGGTTCCTGAGAAGAAGATTTTTAAATATTTTCCCTATATACTCCTATGTAAAACTTTTATCGGCCATTGTGGCCCCACCCTACTCCCAGGGGTCATGATTTGAACAAATTTGAATCTACACTACCAGAATATGCTTCCACATGAGTTTTATCTTTCCTAGTCCAGTGGTTCTTGAGAAGAAGATTTTTAAAGATTTTTCCTATATACTCCTATGTAAAACTTTGATCGGCCATTGTGGCCCCACACTACCCCCAGGGGTCATGATTTGAACAAACTTAAATCTACACTACATGAGGATGATTTCACACGAGTTTCATCTTTACTGGCCTAGTGGTTCTTGAGAAGAAGATTTTTAAATATTTTCCCTACATACTCCTATGTAAAACTTTGATCGGCCATTGTGGCCCCACCCTACCCCCAGGGGTCATGATTTGAACAAATTTGAATCTACACTACTTGAGCATGATTTCACACGAGTTTCATCTTTCCTAGACCAGTGGTTCTTGAGAAGAAGATTTTTAAAAAATCCATTAATTTTTCACTATTTCATAATTATCTCCCCTTGGAAGAAGGTGTGGCCCTTCATTTGAACAAACTTGAATCCCCTTCACCTAAGGATACTTTGTGGCAAGTTTGGTTGAAATTGGCCCCGTGGTATTTGAGAAGACGAAAATGTGAAAAGTTTGCGACAACAACGACAACAGACGACGGACAAATTTTGATCAGAAAAGCTCACTTGAGCCTTCGGCTCAGGTGAGCTAAAAACGATATATATATTTACCAACGCCGCAATTAAATAACAATCAAGTTTAAACTATACGGAGCAAAATAGGTTTAGCAATTGCTTTTCCGTATGTATGATTTAAAGATATTTTTCTTAATTGATTTATTATGTTTCCTCTTAAAAACAATAGAGATAAAGATAACAAACGACAGAGTTCTTTTTTTAATTTGACACGCAGAAACCGCTTCATCCAACGCTGTGACAATTCAATAAAACAAAAGATTACGCTCGAACGCACATGGTCCGGGAACAATTTTTTACTAGAAAAACATTCTGAACATGCTTGTAAAAGAAAACCGGTGAAAAACTGCAAAAACGTCTAATGACAAAAACACCAGGACTTTCCGAAAATTAACATTAAAGGACTATAGGGATGCTAACAATTGGTTGCTCATAAAAAGATGTCGCTGAACACTTTTGCTTGCATCAGTCCACTAAATGTCAACTTTCGAACTGATTCCAAACGACTTAACATGTAATCAATCGCCAGCGCTTAGAACGTCCACGAAAAACGACGGTTAGCAATGATCGTTTAACTGTTACAACGTCGAGACGTTACAGTTTCATGGCTGCTCCTTAAATTGCAGAAGAGTTATGCCGTTTTACTGGTGTGAGGTTATGCGGACACTTTGTAGGAAACAGGCTACGTTCAGCCATTTCTCGAGCTCAAAGACCTCTCAAAGCAATATCACTTACTCAACGTCATCGACAATCACGCATCGCAGGGGCAAACACAAATCGTCTTGGATTCAACAAAAATATTGCCTTTTCTTTGTTATACGAAGAAAATTTAACATTTCAAATGCATTATAAATTATTGGTCTACTTTTTTCTACTTGATATATTAAATATCTATAATTGCTAAACTTATTTTGCTCAGTATAATTAGTTTAACTATAAAACCCGGGGTTGTCCAAGTTCAAAATCGACGAAAATGTTATTTTATTTTAGCATATAAACAACGTACACGTGTATATCATCTAAATCTACACTCAGTATTGTATTTATAATTATTGTTTTTGCTCAAACACGCCGTATGTAACTTTAAATGCATGAGAGTTGTTGGAATGCATCAGAGACATATAAAACAACCTTAATTATGTCTCTGGAATGCATTTAATCTCCTACTTTTGTAGCTTTTTTTCCCTTCGTCACAGATATGCCCCCCCCCCTTCCCGGAGGGTTCCATGTTCGTTCGCCCTAAAAATTTCTTGTTCGCCTAGAGTCCACTCGCCCTAAAACTTGTTCGCACAGGGGCCATTCGCCGTTATTTAATGTAGAATAAAATCTAACAAGCTAATTCAGAGAATTTGTGTCCCCCGCTTAGGGGAAAAGTAAACCATACGCAGTTCGGGGGTGGGGGGGGGGGGGTCGGATCCCCTTCACTGAATTTGTAGAATTATTAAATGTATACATGTATACTGAAGCAAATAAAATATGCCAATATGGATATAAAGGTTTGATTGCTTATTCTTTATTATGTGTATAGAAGATTCTTTTTATATGGAATATTTATCACACTGTAATGATGATTTTATGAGTTTGTACAAGCCAGACCTAATAAATTTTTCTTTTCACATGGTTAATACTATCATTTAGTAAAAAAAAA